ACCTACAGCTGACCTCTTGAAGCCGGCGTGTCCTTTTCTGACAATTGCACCCTCGTAATTGTTGTTACATATTCTACCAACTGCGACATTTCTTGAGGAAAACATTCGTGGTATTGTTTTTCATTTATTCGTGAGGAGAATGCTATCCAATCATGATACGATTTTGTACTCTAGAATGATTTGCTGTTCACCGGATCTATTGAACATGATCACAGGCATACGATTTGTGGCCGAAACAAGAACTGTATTTTTATCCTTGGTTGAGCAGAATCTGCAAAAGTGAAATTATCATTTGAGGCTGTGATTCTGAAAATGAACTCACCTGTAGCCAGTTCGCGTTTGGTCCTCACTGGATTAATTTCAACACCCCCCAAAACGCAGCCTTCGTGATCATAGCCGTGTGAAATCGCGTTGATCTTAACTTCAATTCTTTTTCCTTCAGGAGCCTGAAAGGTGTTGCATTTTACACAAGAAAGAATGGCGAATGGACGGTAGATCATACTTCAATCCAGTAATTGCAGAATTGGTAGTCATCGCGCATATCGGACGGGACCTGTCCGTGACCGAGTTTATTGATTAGGAATTGCTTCTTATCCGTCGCTGTCAAAGTTTGTCCACATCCGGCTGGCTGAAAAAAGTCTTCACTGCCGACTTACTCAACTATCACATCTTTGCCCTACTCTTTCATTGCAAAGAGCACCGCCGTAACCACTTGGACAGATACATTCTGAGCATTTTCGTGGGTGAGGGAATCCTCCATTCTGGCACGGGGCTGAGGTCTCTTGCGGACACTTTGCTAAATAGCAACATTTTTCAGCAGTTTTTGAGTAGCAGTCGTTTTGGCGTTATGTGTACCTTTGCACTCGTAATGCTCGTTGATCAGGGACTTGTCAAGGAACGAAAGGATATGCGAGCCCATTGTTTTTTGGTACAATGTGTCATTTGCTATCATTGTAGGTTCACCGTTGCGAGTAGCACTGAAATCATCGAGCATATTACTTCAACTCTGGTAGGTGTTATTTTTTTGTCTACCTGGATGCTCCATAGTGCATAATACTACCATAATCGTAAGTGAGGCCGTAGTTATCACTTGTTTCCTCGGTCTGTGGGATGTATTGATCCACAAAATTATCCTGAGACGGTTTACTTACGTTCTATGGTTTTGTTTGATTTAGTGTGCATGTGATGACTTACTACAACATTATCGATGACGACTGTTATGAAGTCATCTCGATCATAGCGTGACATGGTATGGAAAAGTCCCAAGTGCATGACCAATCTCGTGCGTAGCAATTCCTATCTGAAGTAAGTGCCAAGAAGAAGTACAAGTTGACCCATGTCTTATAGGCTTTAATAATTTTGCAATTCATCACGTGAACGCAATGCTTGCATAAATTTCAATTTTTAATGAAGAATATGTCAGTCTTGTATAAATGTAGCACTTCAATGGATAGCTCCTATGAACTCATGAAATTCTTCTGCCAATGTCAGATATTTACTACCAGCTTGGCTCCTATCGCTATCGCGCGGCAAAGTACGCTTCAGTAGAACGGTGAATAGCCTTTCTCGTGTATAAGGTGGCTTTCAATGAATTTGATTGGTGTTACAAATGAAAGGTTACTATGGGCCAACGCCTCAAAGTCGCTGAGACGCATGCAATTTATTTCGTGACATTTGCATTCTAACGCTCCTTATCAGTCCTTGTCAGTTGATATCAATTTCAATACCGCATCAAATATGTTCCCATCCCACTCCCTATATCATATCTTGAAATCAACTCCTGACGACCACTGGTGTTGGCGCTATGAATTTCGTGACAGACAGACGGACGTACACACAAACACATACACACACAGACAGTCATACTTAGCGAATTATACATCTATAGTGGGATAAAACAACTCATGCCTTGAACAATCATGTTATATTCTTGGAGTAGTTTTGAAGCCACAAGCCAAGATGTTACAGATCTTTATTCGGCTAACGTTTCGGCTTGGTCGCCTTCGTCAGAGCCTGGAAAAGTCAAAGATCACTGCGACCCACCGCAGACATCATTTCCGACTTCGAAATAGTCCCCATAGACCAGAAGAATCCATGGGGGGCATCATAAACCACAAGCACCAGCTGACTCACCTTAGATGTACGGCCGGACTTTGTTGAGACCACCGCTAAACTGACTCACTGTGGGTGGCCTCTGGTGACCTAGCCCATCGGCAAGGAGCCGACGGCGTTCTAAGCCCGCAAAGGTCAGCAAAAGGTGCGAGTTCACTGGTGATGGCTAGGCATTCATCTTTTCCTGTTTATTTTTGGGTTTTTAGCGCTTATCCAAAAGGCCTCCAAAGTTTTGCGCGCTGAAGTGAGGGGCTCTCGCGTCAGGATCCTCACAGTGACCTCAAACTCCGCTCCTCCATGGCACTGCAACCGATGACCACCCAGGGGGGTCTCAGGCCTTGATCTTCTTAGCCCGTCTAGGTGTTCCTTGATCCTGGAACACAAGGGCCGCCCCGTTTCCCCGATATACTCTTCCCCGCAGAGCGCACATGATATGTAGGTGGAGGAGAGGGCAGTATTTGTTGAACGGAGTCATTGGAGACCACCTTGCCGTAGGGCAACCATTCGCGCAGAAAAGCCCTAATGAAAAAGGTTCACGCAAGTTTCGGGATTGGAGCGGTTCTTTAGGTTTCAGCGTTTGCGGCGCGGTGAACAGAGCTTCAGTGGCTCAGTAATTTGGCCTTAATGGCGTAGAGAGCACTTTCGTGGGTCAATGCAACCTTAGGGGCCAAGAGAGAGAATCATCGAGCCTTGGTGGCTCGGTGATTTGACTCTAATGACCAGTTGGGAAGAGCTTTACGGCTCAACATAGAAGAGGGATTACGCACTGCACCTAGTCGCAGACTTCGGCTCTGTGATCCCCGACACCATTCGCCTACCGTCCTTCCGTGCGCTTTGCTATTCATAAATTTATTGGTGAAATGCTGCTATCTCTGAGCCTCATTTGATATTGTGTTCAATAAGATGTTCTTGAAGCTCTTGGTCTTATATTTATTGGTGAGCTTTCGGCAATAATGCCATCATCAGACCAACCTTAAAATTACAATAATTACAAATCAACTACTGCAAGGCAAAGAACATGATACATCCATGTATTGTCTTTGCCATTGCGAGCGAACTCCCAGCTCAGTGACCGATCAGTAGCAGAGACTGAGCCAAACACAGCGCTGATCTTCTCTAGTGTCCTCTTGCAACAGCGTCTATTTGAGGATCATAAAGCATAATCGTTCGTTATTGTCATTGATCTATTTCGACTTCTACTCAGTTATTCCGATGCGGGTTTGACCTTCCAAAATGTCCTGGCTAACGGTCTAGATGCACTCTTTGACATACCAACATATTTCGCAATGACACTAATTCGACTTGAAGAAATTTGAATTTGATCAAAAATCGGACAGGAATTATGGGACAACCCAATAGTCGCTTATGAGATGAGCATACTTTGGATGTCTTTCTGTGCTCGTCCACTGATCTTCCTAACCAAGTTAGAACGTATAGTAACTAATAGTAATAGTAAGAAATAATAATAGTAGTTATAACAATTATAATAGCAGTAGCAAAATCCTACTATATATAATCGGCTAAGCGGTTGTGCGTGTGTGTGTCTGTGTGTGTGTATGTGTTTGTCTGTCTGACCGGAAATTCATAGCTCGGGCACCAGTGGTCGTCAGGAGTTGGTTTCAAGATATGATATAGGGGGTGGGACGGGAACATATTTGGTGGGGTAAAGAAAGTGATCACAACTGATAAGGGCTGATAAAAGGCGCTAGAACGCAAGTGTCGCGAAATTCATAGCTCGGGCACCAGTGGTCGTCAGGAGTTGGTTTGGGATATGATATAGGGGGTGGGACGGGAACATATTTGGTGGGGGTCACAAAGTGATAACGACTGATAAGAGTAGATACGAGGCGCTGAAATACAAATTTCACGAAATTCATGGTGCGCTTCGCAGCAGTCGTCAGGAGCTGATTTTGGGACATGATATAGGGGGTGGGACGGGAACATATTTGGTGGGGTACAGAAAGTGATAAGCAACTGATAAGGGCTGATAAAAGGCGCGAAATTCATAGTGCGCTTCGCAGAAAGTCGTCAGGAGCTGATTTTGGGACATGATATAGGGGGTGGGACGGGAACATATTTGGTGGGGGTCAAAAAGTGATAACGACTGATGAGGACTGATAGTAACGATATGCGTACGAACGTAGAGAGCACTTGAAACCAGATTGTAGATAATGCCTTTCATTTCAATATCATTTCATCAGCGTTGTAATTGTAAACTCAAACACCTTTCGACCGCTACACCTTCTAGAGTTCTTGAGGATGAATGGGATGCTCGAATAAATATGATAATGAATACTGGGCATTCCGTTTTGAGATATTCGACCGCTAAATTACCTCGATACTCGACGCATAGTGGTTGTTTACATCATCACTTTAGCTGTGCACTTCACTGCGCTTATCAAACAGTGAGATACAGCCAAGATGGGCAGCCTATGCAACGGACAGTAATACATTTAACGAAGCAGCTATAATTTAGCGGTGAAACCTAAAGCTTCATCGATTGTCAGTTCTATCAATGCGCGCGGTAGCGGGCGGAGCTAAACTGGTAATAATAAATAGGAGCATCAATTTCACTTTGATTTGTGAAAGGAGTCAGAATGTTAAAAACACTAATGAATCAATAATTACATTTCATTTGGAATCACCTTTTTCGCTTCGAATTCTTTGCTCGCTAATCTTTTACACCAATTTTGGATATGTACGGCGCGTCTCGCCCACAGAACACTAGCGCCTAGTCGCGAGGCAGCACTAATTAGAGTGCCGAAATTTCCATTCGTACCACTTGACACACACCCATTTCGCAGCAGCGCACCAAACACTTTCCTTTTTAGAGTTACACAATTTTGATGAAGCACGTTGACAGTCTGTGTCATTCAGACAGCTATCAGAGATTCAGATCCTTCGGAAAACGTTCTTTCAGTGTGAAAGTCCGCGTGGATAATCAATCATCGTGTGCGATTAGTAGCTCACCGACGTCATCGATATCAGTGTAAGAGGTGTCCGTGTACTTTTTGAGATACTTGCTGTAACTGTTGTCATAGCATCCAATCTTCCCACCATTTGTCACTGTGTACCAGTCCAGCTAAAAAGGAATAGAAGCATCACAGTCGCAACACATTCATCTATTCATAGTAATGAGTTCGTCTAGGACTGGCATTATCCCTAGCGCAATACGCCTATGTAGAGTCATCGGTGGTGAACATGTGGCCTGCTCAACAACTTTTCTGATTGCTCAAAAAATATACTTTCCCTCTCGTTGCATAGATAGTAGCTTCTTTGCTCACCAATTATATTAAAGGACGAATTCACGCTGAAAAGCAACCCATTTCAAATTAACCTAGGGATGGTGAGTGGTACACGAAAGAAGGAAGAACCATGAGAAACGGCCCAGAACCCGAGAAATGGGACCCCTTCCTTGCCCGTTGATTTGAGCATTGATGCGACTCTCATGCTGACTATCATCGCTGTGCCCTCTTCAACGCTACGCTCTCTCACCTATCTAATCACTCACCACGTATAGACCTGCGGCGAGTGATCAGATGATCGGTGGGCGTGCACTGACCAGCCGCGGCGGGATTAAACCTTAATAGGTCAACGAGGTCAACTCCTCCTGTGCAAATTGTGCTTCAGTTCGCACACTTAGGAGCTCCGCGGGTCCCTCAACCAGGTGAATTCTTCCTAATTCGATTTTCCCTCTGATCGTGAATTCGTCCTTTAACAGTCCCAGCAGGGTTCTCACACTAATGGTGTTGAGCGATGCGCTAGCCCTAGTCAAGACCATACGAAGTGTGACTGAACAAAAAACTCACCTTGGAGAACCGCGAAAGGAAGTTGAACGCATTCGAAGTGGATCATGGATCGAGTCCAAATAGTCGTTGTGTCCCAAATCGGTTGCAAATGCCTCTGCAGCCAACCACGCGGTCTCCGCAGCTGGCATGAGGGGCTTATCATCGGTGGCCGACACGCCCATTTTAAAGGCGTGCAACTCCCTTTTGCGGCTTTCAAGATGAGTTTTTGTTCAGTCGCTCCTCTTATGTTCTTGACTAGAGCTAGCGCATCGTTCAACACTATTAGTATCGAAGGTAAGAACCCTGCTGGGACTGTTGCCTTGATGTCGGTCAAACTTCATTTGCACATGCGGTATTCTACTGGTTACGATATAGCGCACCTATGCGTGCATCAAATAAAGGGATAAATAATGGATGCTGTAGCTTCAGTGCTTTGCAACTGGCTAATCGTTTGACGCGAAGACTGCCACACTTCGCTATGCTTGCATACGCTACTGCTCCCAGTGGCGCATACTTCCGCGGTACACACCTTCTTTGTCCCATTGATTGTTTTCAAGGCTAACCTCTGGGGGGATAATGAGCTATATAAAAATCTGTCATTGTAAATCTAGCTCAAATGCGCAGCACATGACCAAGAACTGATCAAAGAGCACTTCACTCTCCATACTTTTCGAGACAACATTTCGAGTTCATCAACCAGCAACTTCAGACGTATGCGCGAAAATATCGTTTTGATAAAGGGAAACAAGGGAGTGAACATCCGGGTTTTTTTTGATCCAGGTTTATCTGAAGTTGTTCAAGTCTCACTTACAACTTGCTTCACCCGATCCATTTCGTCTCCTAACGAAGAGTTCGTCATAATCACGCACGCCTTAGGTATTCCCAGTCCATTACGGGTGGCAGCGTTCTGAACATGAACTTGAGAACATGTAAATTGATCCTGACCTCAACAAACTTACCCTGTTATCGCCAGAGTACTGATTGATGTCTTGAAAATAGCTGATGATGTTTGAAAAGAAGAATTGCTTGGATTTGGTGAGATTGTTCTCGTCAAAATCATCGCAGAGACTAAAGAATTGAACAAAAACCACAAAATGCCAATGACACATTTATATTTTAACTTCTAAATTGAGAAACCTACTTAAACTTCTTTTTGAGTAGCTGTCTTCCAGTCAAGCCGTTATAAAAGGTGTTCTGCATATTCGTGAATGCAGTCGAAATAGCAGTTGCGCAGTCTTTACTTTGATCGCCATAGTTTACCCCAGAATTCAATAAATATCCTTAATAGCAAGGATATGATGAAGGAAATTTCAAGTTTTCTAGTATTTTCCTTCGATCAATAAATGTTCTTGCAGTCATTGAAAATTAACCAAATAAGCCACAGCGAATCGAGCACTAACCATAGAAGTCCTAAACGAAAAGCGTTAATTGGAGCGAACTCCCGCCACAGCTCCGATGTCGTGCTTGGATACATTTCGCGGTAGAATGCTGATAGGTCGCCTGCAACAATCACCGCTAAGAATACTGATGTCATGACTGAAAGGATTTCAAAATTGATTTTTTCGGGATGGGATGAAGCAGTACCGTGTGACGCCCATCACCGTCGGATAGTTAGGGGACCTAAATTCCGGTTATTCTGAATACAAATGGGGCGCTCCACGACAGGGACCAATCTATGCAGAGTGCTCCATCCTGGCACATCCTTTCACATGCTTCGTTCTTTCTGGGGAACGGACAAGGTCGGCGGCTCGGCGGCGTAGCGGCAAGTGGCGCTCCTCCCGAGCGCACGGTTTGGAACCGGGTCGAATCTCATTCAAGTCAACTAAGTCTTCCACCACTCCATTGTCAATAAGCTGGTACTAGACTAGTCTGGAACGGTAAAACCTTTGAACCTGTATTCCTTATCCTCACCTCTCAGAACTATTCCTCTCAGAACGTCAAAAACACCGTCTGGATCAAGAAACCGCGCGTTTTGGATTTTCCACTTCTTCAGCGGATTGCTACACAGAGCACTCATCCGGAATGAACATAAGGTCTCTATAGGAGTGGTGGCTCGTCCCTACTGCCATTTAAATGCAATTGAGTTACCTTTCAAGACATAAGTGTTCAGACATCCGATCTATTTTTAAAGGAAGCGATTACGATAAGGAATTTTCGCATCGGGGGAGAACCTGCGCCACACGGAGCAATTACTTGGCTGCCAAGGAAGCGATGTGTGGTCCTCCCACGGCGAAAGGTGCTGTGGTTGCTGAGCAGGACCCGTGTGACGCCCGCCCCCAGTGACGTGACGCCCACTAGTTTTGTTGATGATCTGGATGGACTGTTTGCTGTTGGCTTTCATTTTGGATGATCATTTCCCTTCTAGCGGCTGTATCTTCCAACTTGCCCACGTATTGCCTTATCAATCAAACACTATGCTTGTTGGCATGATGGCGGCTATCGGGGTTAACACGTCCGAACAACGTCGTCTTTACCGTCGCTCATCCATGGTCGAAAATGAAAGGGCAATCAAAGGGGTACCATTTTGCTTATTTTCGACGGATTTCTTTGCTTTTTTCGCCATTGGCGTACTATTGAGACCCCCACGTCCCCTCTAAACCCCTTTGAGATCTATCGTAATCGCTTCCTTTAAAGGCCTGCCCAGGATCACAATGCTGTGGCTCTTCCCCTCTAAATGCCGGAATGGTGTTGTGGGCAAATGGCAACTTCACGTATCACCTGTATCACCTGTCGTCCCGTTGATCATCGAATTGCTCGAGCGGGCGCCAGCAACGTCTCCATTCGTCCCTGTCGCGTGCAAGAGTTGTCCAGTGGACCCTCCTCGCTCGAGGGACACGAAGTCCTTCATTCCTTTCGTTCAGAGCTTTCGTGACCATCGGGCCGGCGGTCGTCCAGGTGTTCGTTTGACGTCCCGAGGGATCCAGTCGGTAACCGCTCTGGTCCACCTTATCTTCGATTCCTTGGCGAAAACGGCAGCGTCCCTGATCTTCGATCGTTGGCGTAGTTCGGCACTCCGGATTCCCCTCTGCACTTGCGTGTATAGGGTTACTCCTAGCATCGTCCTCTCGACAGCGCGTTGGATAACGCTGACCGCATGCTCGTCCTGCCTGCGCAGAGTCCAAGTCTCTGAGGCGTAGGTTAGGGCAGGAAGGACAGCGGAATCGAAGAGGTGGGCACGGAGCCGGATGTTCTTCGTCTTCTTCACTACTCCCTCGATGTTCTTATACGCTCCCCAAGCCGCTCGTTTCCTCCTGCTCAGCTCTGGAGCTAGATCGTTCATCATATTGATTTCCCGACCTAGGTACACGTAGCTGGAGCATTCGGTGATGTTCGTTCCGTTGAGCGTGAATGGGGCATCAGGAACCAATCCGTTTCTCATAAACATCGTTACCACAGGCGCAGTCGAAATCAGCCAGCATTCGCTCCGCTTGCTCGATGTTCGGCGTTATAAGAACGATGTCGTCAGCAAAACGAAGGTGGTGTAGTTGCCGGCCGTCGACCTTCACTCCCATGTCTTCCCATTCCAGTTGACGCATGACGTTCTCGAGAGCGGCGCTGAAGAGTTTGGGCGAGATGGTGTCGCCCTGTCGGACCCCTCTCTTGACGTCGATGATGACCTCCTTGTAGAATGGTGAGATTCTGGTCGTAAAGTTGCTGTAGAGCTCACGAAGAATCTTGATGTACTGAGTAGGGACGCCCCTGGTTGCCCATGGTCGATCGTGCTGAACCCTCCTTCGAC